TAGATATAAATATTACATAATATTATAAATTTATAATGTGATGTATTATTATATAATTGATTTTTTTAATAAAAAATTCACTCTAAATTATATATATTTACTTATTTAGTAATAGATCAAACTTATTTAATAACATATTATTATCATATTATAATTGTAAAATTATAATTTTATATGATATTATAATTATAATATTACTAATAATATTAGATATCAATTCCTAAATAAAAAGAGTCAATATTATATGTTTAGAATAAGAGTGTGTTTCATTGTAATTATATTATTTTTGCTTTAAAATTGAAAGAAAATTTTGATAATATAGTGAATAGTTGAAGTTAACAATAAGTTAGCAAGAACCTGTCTAGTGAAAATTTTTTGATTTTTTTTAAATGAAGTTTTGAATTTAAGTTTTATAAATTGAGAAACATATATTAGGAGAACTTTTTCTCTTATAAAGTCCAATGCATTTCAATTTAAATTAATTAGGGTTTAATGTAATTTTTTAATGTTAAAAGATTAGTAAAAAAAATAAAAACTTACGAATAAGTTAAAGTGGAGAAAAATACCTATAACCCTTCAAATTTGAAATAATGACAAATTGGGACCAGCTTTGAGCCATAGTTATTTGAGTAATGATAAGGAGAACAACAAAAATTTGGAACAAATAAAGTGACTTATGCAATATCATTAAATTACTTAACGCATATAATATTATAGGTGAAAAAAATAAAAAAAAAATTATTAAATAATATAAATTTTACTTTTTAATATTTTAAGTGATAATCTCATATTTTGATCATAAATTTTAGTCCCATTTATTATTATTTTAGTTATTTTAGAAGAGAGGAGAGAGTATATATTTCTGAATTTAAGTTCATGAACTCATATGTTTCCCTATGTAAACTACAGGGACCAGAAATGGCAATTAGACTCAATTGCCTTTTACTTAAAACGACACGATTCCCATCCTAGTTTCCCTTCAAACGACATGATGTCTCCATTGTCCTCTCCTCAAGCGAACGCCGGTTACGCTTCTGCATCTTCATTCTACTCTCTTCCATTTCCACCCCTCACTAAAACCCACATTCACACCACCGTACCTTCCACCGGAAAACCCAAAACCCATTTCGCCCTCATCACTGTTTCAGCACATTCGTCTTCTTCTTCAACTAAAGACGTATGGAGAAGAACACAAACAAGCCTTTATTCTGCTTCTCACAAGCACCCCGGAAGACGACAAGGTCCGGTGTATTTAGACCACAGAGTCGACATGGACGAGCTCTTGGCGTCGATAAGCCAAACCCAGAACGAGGAAGAACTCTACACCCTTTTATCGCAGTATAAGAACCGGCAACTTTCTATACGCTTCATGGTCTCGCTTCTCTCTCGCGAAACAGATTGGCAGAGATCATTGGCTCTTCTTGATTGGATCAACGAGGAGGCTATGTACTCGCCTTCGGTGGTTGCGTACAACGTTGTTATGCGCAATGTTCTTCGAGCGAAGCAATGGGAGCTTGCATATGGGTTGTTCGAGGAAATGCGCCAGAGAGCTCTGGCACCTGATAGGTATACTTATTCTACTCTGATAACGTATTTTGGAAAAGAAGGCATGTTTGATTCTGCTCTTTCTTGGCTCCAGAAGATGGAGCAAGATCGTGTCTCTGGTGATCTTGTGTTGTATAGTAACTTGATTGAACTTGCGAGGAAGTTGCATGATTATTCCAAGGCCATTTCAATCTTCTCTAGGTTGAAAAGGTCTGGAATTGTGCCGGACCTTGTTGCATATAATTCAATGATTAACGTGTTTGGAAAGGCAAAGTTGTTTAGAGAAGCAAGATTGTTGCTCAAGGAGATGAGGGATAATGATGTTATGCCTGATACAGTTAGCTACTCGACCCTTTTGACCATGTATGTTGAGAATCACAACTTTCTTGAGGCATTATCTGTGTTTTCTGAGATGAAGGAAGTTAAGTGTCCGCTTGATCTTACTACTTGCAATATAATGATCAACGTTTATGGACAACTTGATATGGCTAAGGAAGCTGACAGACTGTTTTGGAGCATGAGGAAGATAGGGATCGAACCAAATGTTGTTAGCTATAATACAATTTTGAGGGTATATGGTGAAGCTGAGCTTTTTGGAGAGGCAATCCAACTTTTCAGATTAATGCAGAAGAAGGATATTGAGCAGAATGTTATTACTTATAACACAATGATTAAGATTTATGGTATAACTCTTGAGCATGAAAAGGCTACCAATCTCGTGCAAGAGATGCAGAACAGAGGTATTGAACCCAATGCCATCACATACTCAACAATAATATCTATATGGGGTAAGGCAGGGAAATTTGATAGAGCTGCAAAGCTATTTCAAAAGCTAAGGAGCTCCGGGGTTGAGATTGATAACGTTCTCTATCAAACAATGATTGTTGCCTATGAAAAGGCCGGTTTGGTTGGTCATGCTAAGCGCTTAATTCACGAGCTTAAGCAACCAGACAATATTCCTAGGGAGACTGCAATTTCAATTCTTGCTGGAGCAGGACGGATTGAAGAGGCTACATGGGTTTTCCGCCAGGCTTTTGATGCTGGGGAGTTGAAGGATATAACTGTATTTGGTTGTATGATTGATCTTTATTCACGGAACAAGAAGCATGCCAATGTCATTGAGGTGTTTGAGAAGATGAGGAGTGCTGGGTATTATCCTGATTCCAATGTGATTGCTCTTGTTCTTAACGCCTATGGAAAGTTGCGGGAGATTGAGAAAGCAGATGCTGTATATAAGGAGATGCAGGAAGAAGGTTGCATTTTCCCTAATGGAGTTCACTTCCTGATGCTGAGTCTCTATGGTGCAAGGAAGGACTTTCAGATGGTAGAGTCATTGTTTGAAAAGCTGGATTCTGATCCCAACATCAACAAGAAAGAGTTGTATCTTGTTGTTGCCAGCATTTACGAAAAAGCCAACAGACTAAATGATGCATCACAGATCATGAACCGAATAAAAGAAAGAGGCTTTTCAAAGTTGTGAGTAACCTGAATCTTCCTTTGTTAATAAACTTTTGCTACTATTGTAAATGCCATTTTTCCTCTGGTAATGTTGTAAATCGCATTGAGTTGTATTTTTTCTGTACACATATTCTATCACAACTTATATTATCTCTCCCCACCTTGATGATGCACGAAATGGTAATAGTGCTTCGTTGTTTTCAAAATTTCCAGATACCTTTTATTCCAATCAGTCTCATGAGTATTTTGCCTATCATATATTTTTTAACATTTTATGTTCCTTTATACAGAAAATTCATACTTTCTAACTGCTTATCTGAAAATTATTCCACATTTCCACTGGATGGATATAGAATTTTTGTTGAAAGAGCGCTAAGGCATTCCAGTAAATATGATGGATACTTTTCTTTAGATTTGGTGATTCAATATTCTTTTTCCATCGGAAGAAGCTCATCTTCTCTTCAAGAAAGTGAAAGAGAATCACTTTTCTATCTTGTTGTCACCTTATCTCATGTCCATTTATCTTGTCATGTTATCTCTTCTGCATTTTTATTTTCTTTTGTTCCACAACCCTAGATGATTTATAGCATTGCCTGTAATAAGTAGCAAAATTAATTCATTGATTGGGTAGACATAGGTAGTGTCTACACCAGCTATGTTAATCTCTCAGTAGCATATAATTAAAGACTGCTGAACCTGAATGGGTATCCATATCAAATTTCTTATCACAATTCAATACAATATCAAGACTGCTTTTGTGGATTGGCACAAATTAAATTGTTGAAAGATACAATAATTAAACTCGTCGTTTATATTCCTTTGGGAACATCAGTCATTGAAAATTTGCAATTGCCATTTTTTGGTCCTAGATCATTATGTTTCCATGGGGCTACTTTCTGTTAAATGAACTTGATTTCGGGACCATTTAGCTTAGCCTTTTTCACAAACAAAACTGCTTATTGGGATAAATATGGACTTGTCATCAACGTTTTCCCTTGGTGATGATTCCTTCATATTCCTTATGACCCATTTTTTCTTCCCTTTTTTTTTTTCTTCTTCGGATGGAAGACTTTTGGTAGCTCCTCCTTCAACGACCAGTTAAACAAGCAACATTTTTTTTTTTATTATTTACTTCGACCAGTTATGCATGACGCACCAGCCGAAACTCTATATTACTTCTGTTTCCATTTGGAAACGGAAGAAAATAATTTCCACTTGGATGGAGCCAAGCCAATTTGGTCAACAAAGGTAGGTTGATTCAGATTGAAGATAAGTAGTTTGGTTGCAGGTTTTTCAGCAATCAAACATGAATTTCACCAGTTTTCTAACGAATTAGGCCACCTGGCTTGCAAACACATGAAGTATGATCCCTTTGATAATTTTCAGTTATTGTCCACTTTGATCCAATAAAACTCTTGTTTTGTTCCTCACATTATCAATGTTGATTTTTGTTTTTGTTTTTTTTCTAAATCACATGGAGTATGATAGTTTGAAACCATATAAACGTGCTAATTACTCTGCTAATCTTTTTCGGTTAGTATAATAATTATAAAAAAAATATTTAGAAATAATTTTTGTATATAATTTTTTTCATATAACCTTATATATTATTTAATAATTAACTCTTTTAATTAATTAAAATTCATATTATTATATGCATTTATTTATTTAATGATGTATAGAAGTTATAAATAAAAATTGTATAAATATTTTACCTATATATCATTGAGTTATAATAGAGAGGATGAAAATTTAAAACTAATGATATGATATAAGTCATATCATTAAATTAATTTATACATATAACATATGGGTTTAAAAAAATAAAATAATTAATTATTAAATAATATAATATTTATTTTTTAATATTTTAAATAATGTAATTTATATTATATCATTAATATCAATTTTTGATTTTAAGTTTTAGTCCTATTTATTATTATTCTATATCATTACCATAAGTATATTAGGATTTTTCCCTAAAAAATAGTAGAATTTCAATTCAACAGTGTTTTTTTTTTTTTTTGGTCATAAGTATTGCAATTGATTATATTGAAGAAATGACCTCTATTAGTTGACCATCTCCATCACCCAATTAATTAATGGTCTAACATTTGCCAGATTCTCTATTGACCGTGTGATTTGAAATGTTAATGCCTCATGATATAAAAAAATGGATATGGTTGGTAAAATAATCTTATTTTTAAAAGGAAACAATATCTACTCGTTTTACTTCGTAAACATTAAGAAAAAAATCATCTTAAAATTATATCATTTCAATAAATTTTAATTAAAATTAATGAAAATACCTTATTTTTAAAATATGAATTATTCCTTATAATACTTTATTAAAATTACATAATTTTGGACTAATTTTTTTCTTAATTTTTAAGAGATAAGGCGGATAAACACTATTTATTTTTAAAAAAATAAAATGTAATATAATTATATCTTGAATTTGATTAGTACCACTTTACTTTCAATCCTAATTAAAATTGAAGTTTAGTTAATTGATGGTTAGGGTCATTTTTGTTGGTGGGATTGACACCTATCACAAAATAGGAGTTGGGGGATCCACAATCACAGTGGAATCCCTAAAATGGGTTAGAGTTGGAATTGATATTTATTTCATGAGATTCAATAATTTGATAATTATTTTTTAAAATTACAATAATTATGTTCATTTGAAAAGAATGACCAAAGTGAAAGGGAAGACTTCCAAAGTAAACATATTGACTAAAATCCTCTCTATGTACCATACAAATTCCACACGCTAGTTCAAAGAATTAAATCAACTTTTTTTAATTGATTGTTTGGAGACTTTCCCCTCTTTTCGTCCACAGCTATTCCCCTCATTTATGATTATTCCTTTTAATTATATGGTCGAATAATTATATCATAATATTATGCTTGTTTTAACTATTCTTAAAATCCAATCTGATCCATAGATATTTATTAGTATATTCATTTTTTCTATTTATGATCTATAAGGTTCAACCATGGTATTTGGAAACAAACGGCAAAAATGAATGAATCCAACAATTTTCCGATTTACTAGTTTAGACTTTTTTATCATGATAATATTATAATTATAATATTATATAAAATTATTATAATTTTATATAACATTAAATTAATATAATATAATAAATATATACCATATTATGTATAAATTTTTAAATAAAAATAATTAATCATATAATGATATAATAATATTAATTAATATTATAACTGTAACATTTTTATTTTAATAAAGTAATTAACTCAAAACAAATTTTTTTATTTTATTTATATAATAAGAGATAACTCTCTTTTATCTCTTATCATATTCAATTTATATATCATGAAATTTAAAATTAAAATCTCTTATTTTTAATAAAAGAATATTATGATTGAATTATTTAAATAATTGAGAATCCAAAATAAATTAATCCAATTTAAGGAAAAAAATCACCATCGTCACGCTAAAAAATATGGCCCAAAACCAAGTATCTATCATGTTTTTTTACTAATTTAATCTCAATAACGACTATAATTTGTGAGAAAAGAGAACAAAATATTTTGGAACCGAAATACTATTCAGTCCGAGCTGATTTCATTATTTGGTACTTTATTCATCCATTTATTATTACCATAAAAGCTCATTTACAAAACATTTTGGTCTTATCTTATTCATTTTTATCATTACTAAAAATTAGTAAAAAAAAAAGAAACCTAACAGCTAACGCATTTTTATTTCATTTTAAATTAAAATAAAATTAAAATATCAATATTTATTAATAACTTTTTTTTTAAAAAGTAATGTATGGTAAACTACATAAATAATTAAATAGTTATTTACCTAAATAGTTTAGTAGTTATATTTTTTCACTAAAAGTAAGAGGTCATGAAATCGAACCGCATAACATATGAATAGTCTTAAGTTCAAATTTTATAACATGCGAGTGTAGTAAAATAATAAATGAGAGATGTTATCTACTATGTGCAATCAAAATAAAAAAAATAACATATGGATAATTAATTTAATTTATGTATTTAATAAGTGGATGACTAAACCAAGAAAATAATAACGAATAAAAATAATTATCATTTATCAATAAAAATACTTTGTAATTTATTTAATACTATTTAATAATTCATTATATATTAACATATATATATATATATATTGAACGTTGGGATAGGAATTTAAACTGTCGAGTTTTACATAAAAAATTCTTTACAACCAAAAAAATAGTCACTAACTCACGAGTACGTTATCATTATATATTAGCATATTTGATTTGAGAAAAAAATAATTCTAATAATAACTTTATTCTAAGTTAGTTGTTGGGCTTGACTGGTTATAATAATTTTATCTCGCCTATCCTTTCCTTTAAAGCAAGCAGGTCATCAACTTCCGTCAAACCAAACATGCCATTAGTGATGGCTTTCAACACAAAAAGATAGTGAAATGGTATTAAAGTTATTGAAGTCGTGATTCATGGCGATTTCGCCCTTTTGTCACGGCGATATAGTCTACATCCCGTATCTAACAATTTAGAACCAGAACTAAATACCTGATTTCACTTGCAGCCAAAACAACAACAACAACCCAACTCTGAATCAGTTTACAAATTTTCTTCTCTGCTTCTCAATTCTCAACCAGAAATGAAGAGATTGAAGAACTATTGTATGCACATCCGGCACCATCAAGCAATGGAGCGGAAATGGATCTTCCCTTTAGCGATTGGTTCCATAGTTTCTGTGTTTTTGATATTCCTGACTACTCTTTCATCTCAGGATGGCACCTATTTCCTACCCTTTTACCGTTCCATTGATTCCTTATCTGGGTCGTCGGTTTTTGTCGAATCCAAGCTCAAACCCATACCAATTTCTGACCTTCCGCCGCCACCGCGGTTTGCGTACCTCATTTCCGGGTCAGCCGGGGATGGGCGCATGCTACGACGAACCCTTCTTGCCCTCTACCACCCGAGGAACCAATACGTTGTCCACCTCGACCGGGCGGCCAGCCCTGCGGAGAGGCTCGATCTGCAGAATTTTGTCAAGGATAATCCGGTCTTTGCTCGGATTGGGAATGTCAGGATGATTGTCAAAGCCAATCTGGTTACTTATAAGGGACCTACCATGGTCGCCAATACCCTGCACGCAGCGGCAATCTTGCTCAGGGAAGGAGGAGACTGGGACTGGTTTATCAATCTCAGTGCCTCTGATTATCCACTTGTTACTCAAGACGGTGAGTTGGGTATTTTTTAAAAAATATTTTCTGAAAGTTGATTTTGGGTTATTTCTTCCCCTTTTGAGAGCTTTAATTTGGTTATAAATCTGGGTACAGATCTGCTGCATGTGTTTTCTTATCTGCCGCGGGATCTAAATTTTATTGATCATACCAGCAATATTGGATGGAAAGAGTGAGTCTCTTCCTTACCCTTTACTGCAATTTTCAATCTCTTTTCTATTTTAGTTTCATTTATTGTTGGAAACTAATTGCTTGGTCATTGAGATTGCAGGTTTCAAAGGGCAAAGCCAATTATTATAGATCCGGGCTTGTATATGGAGAAGAAGGCTGATGTATTTTGGGTTACACAGAGGAGAAGTGTGCCGACAGCATTCAAACTCTTTACAGGTGCAAATCTTGCATAATCAACTTGTTTTTAAGTTTGAATTTCTACTGCGTTCAGTTTGCAAGCTGGGTTTTTTTTTTTTTTTTTTTCAAATATATGTGTTTGTGCTGTTTGCCATTTTCAGATTCTATTTGCACGGTTTGAGTTGTGATCTTTATAGCCATCTGTTGATTCTGTTTGGTTTTGAGGGGAATAATTGTTCTTTCTGTCATGTTTGTGGGAGGGATTTAAAATCAGTGTTTTAGTTATTATTTCCACTGGATGAATTTGCTGTTAAGTTTAAAATAATGGGGTTGGGATGTAAGTGAAAATTCTTATAGTGGACAATATTAAATGTGGTGGGTTTCTTGCAACATGGCTGACAATGGCAATATATCGTTTTCATGACATGCTTCTGTTAAGGATATCAAGGGTCAAAGGAATTACTGGAGTTTTAAATCCTGTGTCATTATTGATCTGGGTTGTAGAAAACAACAGATTCAACCATGCTAAGAATTTAATTGTTCTGAATCTCTTAGAGAACTGGGTTTCTGGAAAGTCAAAACATTTTAGGTTCTCCCTTTCTTCCCCTCTGTTACTGCTTCCTATAAAGTAGCTTATTTGACTTGATTTGTCACAAAAGTTTTTGATATTAATCAGCTTCCTCAATGGTATTAGTCTATTGGATTTGTTGATGTTCTGCTTTGAAGGTGCCATTTGCTTCTCCTATTTAGTTCCGAGTTTTGTGTTGAGACACACCAGTAGTGAAACACTTCTGATCTAAAAGAAATGTCTTAATTTTGCAAAACTTGTTGAATGGCGATCTAACTTTCATCATTTAAGAGAGTAGAGAACTAGTTAAGAAAGTTAAAATCATTGGCCATGAAAAGTTAAAATCGTTAGCCATGAACTTCCACAAAATCAGTTCACGAAGCAAGTTATATGGTTGAGTTGAGATTGGACTAAATTATTGTTACCTTATTCTATATTCCTTTCTGCTCAAAGGACAAACCTTTCTTGATATTTCTGTTAAGTACGCTAAACTCAATATTAAATATAAAAAAATGGTCAATGCAAGTACTGAATCTTATGGTGTAATCTAACTGGTATCTAGATTGAAATTGATCAAGTGTTTAAGGGTTCTGAAATTTTCTGAAATGAGAATTTGGGATTGTCATTATCCTATAAATTGGAAAAAAATGGATCTCTTGTTGGCTGCATTCTGAAAAGAAACTTTTACAATTGGTTCAACACGAAATGCCAGCTGCCTCATTCCTTTCGTAAGACACTTAGGTGGAACTGAGAAACTAAACTGCTTTACCGCATGGTGACTGCATTTATAATTCTAGATACAGAATTGTTGTCTGCAAAACATGTATGGTGTTTTCCTTTATGTTATACATATTCACTGAATTTTCATAATGTAATCAATTATGGTTGCTACTTATGCTCTCTTATAATGTTGAATCACCTGTTGACCCAGGCTTGCTTATAGGAAAAAAATTTCAAAAATCTCACTGGACTAGTGTTTAGAGAACTTCAGTTGTGTGCCAATGAGATTCAATCAATCAGATCCTGGACTTTCCTGGAAAAACATGTGACTGTTGTTTAGAAATTTTTGCGTGAATGGAATATTGGCAATTTTTTCTTTTCTGAAGTTGTCCTTTTTGTAAGATTCTATTCTGTGGCCATGGAGGTTGTTTGTTATCTTTATTGTAATTGTAATTCTAACCAAGTATCGGTGTTTTTGTGGTAGGTTCTGCTTGGATGGCTCTTTCTCGTCCCTTCATTGATTATTGTATATGGGGATGGGATAACTTGCCTCGAACAGTGCTTATGTATTATGCAAACTTTATATCTTCCCCTGAAGGCTACTTCCATACTGTCATTTGCAATGCACAAGAGTTTCGTAACACTACTGTGAACAGTGATCTCCATTTCATATCATGGGACAACCCTCCTAAACAACATCCTCACCACCTCAAGCTTGCTGACATGCAACGAATGATTGACAGTAATGCCCCATTTGCAAGGAAGTTCCCTCGTGATGATCCAGTGCTTGACAAAATTGATTCCGAGCTCTTATCTCGGAGTCCAGACATGATTATTCCTGGAGGTTGGTGCATAGGAGGTAGGGAAAATGGGACTGATCCATGTTCTGTTGTTGGTGATGCTACAATCCTCAGGCCAGGCTCTGGATCAAGAAGGCTGGAAACTTTGATTAATTCCCTTTTATCTAGTGAGAAATTTAGACCACGACAATGCAAATGAAATGACCCTAAACATGAGACTATAGGCACTTCTCATGCAGATTGGGGTTGATTTATATGAGAAGGTGGAGATGATAAATCAGGTAGCCCTTGTTCTTTCTGGTAGGGGGATAAAAGGAATGCTGAAGTATTCGTGATCAGTCTGACTCACATTAAGCATGGATGAGCTAAACTTTACAGAAGGAAATATTGATTATAAAAAGCTGGGAACCGCTGTAGCATCATGCACACTTTTGGGTATCGTTTCCTTTTCATTTACTGTGCTTACTATGACCTAGCCAATCTCATTTAGCAATTAGAAGCACAATTTGGCAAGGTAAGTGGCAGAGAAATGAAATATGGAAGGAATTTTGTTGTATGATGCCTTGTATTAGAACCGTATGCCAGAATGACATCTTTTCTGTGTGTAAGAGTTTAGCTTCATTATCAGGAAGAATGTTTCATTCATTTACCCCTTTTTTCTGGATGTGCAAAGTAGATAACTAGATTTGCATTTGCAAAAGAGAATCAGAAAATTGCGGTTTGTAATCTTGCTTATATTTTAGGTGACAATAGCACTGATCCTCTCTGCTTAAGGATACTCTGCTAGCCAATATACTAGTATAACAAATTAGGGAAAAAGTTTAATCAGTTGTACCTGAAAAGATGGGTGAAAATTTTTTTAAAAGTAATTCATTTTAATAAATTTTTATTAAAAAAATTAAAATAACATATTTTTAAAACAATAAATGTAACAATATTGTTTAAATTTTTTTATAATATTTCATTAAAAAGATACAGATCTGAAGTATTTTTTAACTAATATTTTGCATGTCTTGTTTATAAAAACTAATCTCAACAAATTAATTCATTCCATATCGCTAGGAATTGTTTCACTTACAACCCAACAAGAGTTTGACCAAATTAATATTCATTAACAAAAATAAAAAATAAAAAAAAACCCTTAATTTAATGTTAAAATAAAAAATTCAAATCTCTACCATACCTAACAGATACCCTTTCAACGTAAAAAAAAAAAAAAAAAAATCATTTCACTTACAAAAAAACATAGGCTGAAAACTTTTTAACAGGATAATAAGTAGGGACCGAGTAAAAAATTTATGTTAGAGGAATAAAATTTTAAAATATTTTGTGAGGTATTTATCAATTTATATAATATTTCCTCTATCTTAAAATAACTATCATTTTTTTTTTATGTTTTTCCAAATTAAGAATTTAAAGAAAGTCAAATTTTTTGTAATAAGATAATTAATTAAAGCAAATAGATAATGATAAAGTTAAACTAGGAAAAAATATTTATTTACCTTAAAAAATTGAAATTCCAAAATTTATTTGGGGTTAATTTCAAATTAAAAAAAATAACAATTATATTAAAAAAGAGAGAGTACAATTTATATCAATTTTAAAATCAATCAGCTATTTTATATATGTACCACTTATTTCTTTCACACCAAATTTAAAATTAATTAGATACCTTTAACTATTTTTTAATGTCATATAATTTAAGATCATTAAATAGATAGTATAAAAATATAGTTTATTTTTTTATAAGGTTACATATATCAAACTAATTTTAAATTTTGAACATATAATTTAAATTAATGTAATAAATTCAACCATTAGTTCAATAAAAAAATTCATTTTACAAAAAAATTATATATAATCAATAAAAAAAAACTTATATAAATTATATTTAAAATAATTAGATTTAGACTTTTTTTTATATTTATTCTTACCTAAATAAAATTATCCCTTTACCCAAATTATCCCTTTACCTAAATCATAAATATTTTCTTTATATTTGAATAATCCCTATAATTCAAACTTCAAAAATAGAATTTTGTAAAAAACAAAAATATTTGTACTATATTTAATATTTTTCAAAAGTTTAGGGGGGCGGCTGGCCCAACTTATCCTATGCTAGCTCCTTCCCTACAGGGGATTAGTTGAAGAGAGCAATACTAGGGGCACTCGCCTCCTGCACTCTCCGGCCAACACTTCCGCTTTCATTGGGCCACGTAAGCTTACTTTTTGGAGTTTTTGAAACGCAACGTCGTAAATCAAAATAACGTGGCCCAATAAAAATGGAAGTGTTGGCCGGAGAGTGCAGGAGGCGAGTGCCCCTAGCACTGCTCAGTTGAAGAATGAAGAATCCTTCTTTCTGATTACAGACTTACATTGCAATACATGGATCCCTGAAGCTATTTATCTGCGGAGTGCAGAAAATCTTGCCTTCGTTCTTCCTTTGACAAACCAAACTCTCCATGATTTTGCAGCTCCATGTTTCAGCTAGCACCGCAATATACTCTGAAAGAAAGTATTCAGAAAGAAATTGGAGGGGCTTCTGTCGAGGAGAGATGATGCTTACTGCTGCTCAAACTGATCATTGTCGCAGTAGGCAGCATCTCTCCTGCGACACAAGTCCCTGTGAATCTCTGTTTCTCCTCTCCCCCTTTCCTCTTGTGCTAAATATCATATGTAACAAGAACGGCCTTAGAGAAAATAAATAAGGTTTTGTTAATTTCCTCCAGGCATATTCTCTTATGGAAAAACAAATATATAAAAGAAAAATGCATTATACCATTTAAATTATAAAATATAAGTTATTAAATAAAAATCTATCATTACTAGTGAAGACTTTTCTCTTGTACAATTATAAAAATGATTATGACTGTCAGTGAGGTTGTTAAAATTATTAATATTTTTTTATTTTATTAAATGATTTTTTTACCCGTATCTTTTCAATTTACCCTTGTGCTTGTATTTTTTTAATGGATAAAAAGTTAATTTTACAAAATTAAAAATAAAATATTGATGACCTTAATAATTTCTCTACTGGCTATTTCATAATTCTGTTTTGTGGCCCCAACAATGATTTTTGTTTTGTACTAGAAGCTATTGTCACCAGCAGTGACATTGTTAAACAGTAATATTTTTTATTCTATTACATTATTTTTTTTATCTATATCTTTTCAATTCATCCTTGTACTTTTTTTTTCTTTAATGGATAAAGAGTTAATTTTACAAAATTAAAAATAAAGTATTGATGATCTTAATAATTTCTCTAGTGGCCATATCAGAGTTCTGTTTTGTGCTCCAACTACAAATAGGGGACTTAATAAATATACAATTTAGTTGAATGATTGAGGGAGGGTGGAATTAGGGGAGGCAAAAAACTAAAAAGTGAAAAACAAAAAAGTCATGCAAAAGAAAGCTTAATTATACTAAGATTAATTAATAGTTAATACAGGCCAGAAATTAATCTTTAACAACTTTTGTTTCTTTCTATGGAAGGGAAACAGCTGGAGAGAATATTTATACATTAATTTAATCTACATCTAAACTTTGGTGCTGTAATTTAATACTACAATACAATAGTATATGCATCAGCCTTATCTCACAATACGACATCATGTTTGATGACGAAAGGTTTACATTTCAAACACACAAGTAGGCTCTAGGCCTTTTTTCTTTTTCTTTTTCTTTTTTTTTTTTATAAAAAAAAAAAAAAGAAGGAAAAACGAAAAGATGGAAAGTAACTCATTTAGGTGCCTATCTTTAGTATAGCAGAGAGCCTAGTACGGGTGACGGTGACGGGACAGAAAAGAACACCCTTTCAAACGGAAATGGTTAAAATGTCAATTTAGTCGCTCAACGATTAGATTTATATCAAAATTATTTTTAAACTTTAAAAAATATCAAAAATTACCCTTAAACTTTAATTTTTAGTATTAAAATAATTTTAAGACATAAGAATCAATTTAGTCCTTGAACTTTGAAGATAAGTTTCAATTTAGTTCTTAAACTTTGATTACAAGTGCTAATTTAATTCTTCAACCTTTTTTTAATATTAACTTCAAATATCTGAAAATTACATTAGATATCGATTAATTTTGAATCGAATCACGTCCGACTTCATAAAAGGGAAACTCTCTTAATGTTTGTACTTTCATTTATAAAACTCAAACTTAAGATCTTATTTATATGGAACTAAAGGTATGTTTGTGGAGCTTCTAGAAATTTTAACTTTTTAACACTATTCATGTTTCATAAATTTAAATTTTTCTCTTAAAAATTTACATTTTAAAACTTTTTTTTAACCTTCAAAAGACCTCAAAGAGTAAAAGATCAAAAGTTTTAAATCCAAACTTTTTACAAATCCTTTTTTTACTCACTTTTTTCTATCTCTAAAAGTAATTTTTAAATTTTTTCTTCAATAAAAATTTAAATTTATTACTTATAAATAGTATAAAAAAAGAAGAAGCAAAAAGTCCAACAAGTTCCACCAAACATGCCTTGAATTGCTTCTATTAAAATCAACAAGTCATTAGTAATCTTTTAATTTTGATTACATATTAATTTGATATATAAATAGAAATATATCATAGAAACAAAATATAACTGTTTGATTTTATATGTCATTAATATTTAAAAAAATTAATTTTGTGATAAAATAACGAGTTGCATAGCACCTTCATTAACAGAAAAACTATTTTGGTATCATAATTTTCATTTAAGGATAACTTTAATACTTTTTGAAGTTTAAAGATAATTTTAGTACAAATCTCAAAGTTAAAGGACAAATTGGCATTTTAACCATCAGTAATCGAAGATTTCAGTCCATCTATGAAGCTTTGCCAGTAAATTTTCTCATTTCTATATCCCAAAATTACAATTTCAGTTTATTAGGAACAAAAAAAAAAAAAACAAGGGCTTTCATTTTTTCTTAGGGAAGGGGATAATCAAATTTTTAGAGTCCTAATAAAAATGAAAATGAACGAAGTTGCAAATACAAAACCTTTGCGTCTCCAGAATCTTCAGTCCTCGCAAGTTGTTTGAGCATTCGTCGGCATTTAAACTCGAAACCTCTAATTTGTAGATCTGGTAAAAGATTGATAGCGAACAGAGGAGCTGGAAGCAAAACCCTGGCAGAGACTAGAGAATTGAGTGGATTTCTGGCGCAGGGAGATGGTGCCAGTTGCTATATGCAAAGCTAGCCAGCATGCATATAAATCGGTACCATCTCTCCTGCGACAGAAACCCAATCAAACCTCTTAAATTCTTAGTTTGCTGATACCTTTGTTGTAAGTTCATCGGAGCAGAAACTCTTTGTTATGTGTAGATGCAGAGACATGCTGGATCACGCGTGCAAATGAAAGAAGGACAAACATGATTGCTCTTCACCACTGAACTTAATATTCTTTTCCCAACGCAGGGGAAGGAATCTAACCAAATTGTCTTGTTCTTCATCATGAAATCGACTCATCATATGCAGCTAATGTATGTGGGACCTTATTAAAATTATTAATCTTGGACTGGTTTTCAAGAACACATTCACCGCATCTAGAATTCGTTTGTTCTAGTCAAAGTAGACTCTGCAGAACTTGCACTTAAAATTCCAAATCTAATTTATCACATTAATTTAGTTTTCTTCTGATGTATTTTTTTATTTTCTTTTTTGAACATGGATGGGGGAAGGGGAATTTTTCGAAGTGGCTATGGTGAACAACTCAACTCAATTACTAAAATTTAAAATAAACCATTACATTTAAGGGATCGACTCTTTTAATGTATTTATTAAAAGATTAACTTGAAAATTTAATCTAATTAAAAGTTTTTTTTTTTTTAATGGAACATGATAATAAGTTGAAACCTAACAGAGGAGAAGGAGAAGAGGGAATAAATGTTCGTATCCTAGTCAAAATTGTGAAAAAGCACCACTTAACTAATAATTTGACCAATAACTTTAGAAGACATGGTATCGACGCAAGAAAACGAACTTGAAAATAAATGACAAAGGGGACAGAGTGTATGTGAAAATATATAACAGGAAACAAGGGAGATGAATTCACTACTAATTTCAACAAGTTAATAGACTTACAGCTTACAAAGTTGAGGCTTAGCATGCATGGTTATGAACAAATGAAGAAAATATGGTTGAAGGGAATGTTGTCGCAGGAGGATGGCACCCGCTGGGCCAGCTGCGAAATTGTGGCTTTGGCATCGGCCATGAGAGGTATGCAGCAAAGGAGCCACAAAAAAAGAGTAAGCTAGCTATATCCAGCGGTACTATCTCTCCTGCGACAACATACCAACAACCACTTTATTCCTGAAATATAGATCAATTAGTTTCTTACCTTGCTCTTCTCTTTGTTTGGGTTGTTGGTCTATTTATAGGACTCAAGATGGGATTTTCCTTATTCATTACAATGCATGGAAGTTGCCTTCTGGGGGGATATTGCTGGCACCTGTCTGGAAGAAGCATGACGGAAAAAGTATAGAGGGTGTGTGTGTACCATTTTCTGTTCACATTTTAGTGATTAAATACCCCATTTTTCTATCATGTGAGGTGACCAAAACTCAAAAGAGGCAAAAGACTTTGAAATTTGAATATAACATGTTGAAAATTAAGTATTATAATCAAAGAAGATATCAGCAAGACCCGAAGCGGTACCATTTAATTAGTTCAAAGACTCTGATATTAAGGGTTTTTTTTTTTTTTTTGGTGTGAGACTAAAAACTAAATCGGTCAAAAACTCAAACAGCCCGACATCCAACAGCTCGTCCTTAAATAATTAGTTTGGTATATTTTAATAAAGTTTAAACTGCACAAAATATTTACAAGATTAATTTTTAACATTATTAAGTATTACTAATTAACATGTGTTGAATTATCAACGATTTAAGTAATTTAGTAATTATTTATTTTTGCTGAAAGTAAGAGATTTTGAATTCGAATAATATAACATGCGGATAGAATAAAATAAAAGATGAAAAATAATTGTCTCTCATTGTACAATTAAAATAAAA